TGTATCACACGTGAGATGGGAGCTTTGTGTTTCCCAGATGCACAGTGGCTGTTTACAGTTTTCATTCAAAGCAGGCAGGGGGGAGGAGGAGGAGGAGGAGGAGGAGGAGGAGAGATTGGATTTATATCCCGCCCTTCACTAATTGAAGGAGTCTCAGAGCGGCTTACAAACTCCCTCGCCTTCCCCTCCCCACAACAGACACCCTGTGAGGCACGTGGGGCTGAGAGAGCTCTTTCCAGAACTGCTCTTGAGACAACAGCTCTGAAAGAACTTGTGACTGACCCAACGTCACACCAGCAGCTGCATGTGGAGGAGTGGGGGATCAAACCCAGTTCTCCCAGATTAGAGTCTGTGCTCCTGACCACTACACCAAACTGGCTCTCTTTAGCAGCTTTAGCCTCCTCAGCTCAAGCTGTTTTTGTGTCCGCAAACTGCCCCATGCAGTAACTATTGGCTGCACTGTGAAACCAACCTATGTGGTTCTCCAGGGTCTCAAGCAGAGAAAAGCAGGGGTCATTTCCTGCAGGAGCACATAGGAGCAGAGCTCCGGCAGTAAAGAGCCCAGGGGGCGAGCACATGCAACAAGCCCCACCCCCTGCTCCCAGCAGCCCTCAGACACAGCAATAAGCAGCCAGGTAAGTTACACAGCGCCCCCTCCGGCCCCCCGGTCCAAAACAGTGCAGTGGCACCTTTCAGACCAAATTTTATTCGGGTACAAGCTCTCCCTCCTCTGCGTGGGCAGATCTGCACGTCCCCCCCCCGCCCCAATAGCTAGCAATCCAAAACAGTCCAGTGGAGCCTGAGCGGTGGGTGTTGCCTTCTGACACACTTCCGGTGATGTCAGGGGGTGTGGCATATGCAAATGAGTTATGCTAATGAGTTATGCTAATGAGCTCCTGCACCTCTTTTTCTACGAAATGACCCCTGGAGAAATGTATTTCCCAACAGTGGCTATCTGAGATCCTTTTAACAGGAGTGAACCTGGGACATTCTGTATACATGACAGGTCTTTCACTACTGAGCCATGCATCCAGCCCTGAAGTATAGCTACAGCTAGGGAAAATTACATTTTTAGTTACCAGGACATGTAAGTCCATAGGTGTAGCTCCACTGTAGCTGTAGCTCGGGAGGTGGTGGGCTCTCCATCTTTGAAGGTTTTCAAGCAGAGGCCCGATGGCCACCTCACAGCAATGCAGATTCTGTGAACTTAGGCAGATCGTGAGAGGGAGGGCAGGGAGGGTTGCCTCAGGGCTTAGCCTAGAATGAACCGCCAGGTGCAAAAACGTTAAAGCAGGGCACCTTAACGGCTAACGTAACTGGTCCCAGCATAAGTGAGTCAAAGCAGGAAGGCTTGCATCAATGCTTAGTTCTCGTGGCCCTTTCTTACAGGCCCAGGGAAATGCTGATCACCACTTTGGGGTCAGGAAGCAATTTTTCTCCAGGCCAGTTTGGCTGGGGATCCTGCAGGGTTTTTGGTCATCTTCTGTGCATGGAGCAGGGGTCACTGGGTGTATGTGGGGAGGGGAGGTATTTGTGAATTTCCTGCATTGCGTAGGGGGTTGGGCTAGATGACCCTGGAGGTCCCTTCCAACTCTATGATTCTATGTAAGAGCTCTCTGTAAGGAGGAAGACTCAAATTATGGTGCTGGAGAAGACTCTTGAGAGTCCCTTGGACTGCAAGGAGATCAAATCAGTCAATCCTAAAATAAGTCAACCCTGACTGTTCCCTGGAAGGCCAGATCCTGAAGCTGAAGCTCAAATACTTTGGCCACCGAATGAGAAGGGAGCACTCACTGGAGAATACCCTGATGCTGGGAAAGACTGAAGGTCAAATAAGAAGGGGATGGCAAAGGATGAGATGATTAGGCAGTGTTACCGATGCAACGAACATGAAATTAAGCAAATTCCAGAGGATGACGGAAGACAGGAGGGCCTGGCATGATGTGGTCCATGGGGTCGCAAAGAGTTGGACTCGACTGTGCGACTGAACAACAACAGGGTGTCATAGTATTTCAACATCCAAAAATTAAAAACATAAGATGAGCCCCACTGGATCGATCAGACCCATGGCCCATCTGTTCCCCAATCCTGTTTCATCCAGGGGCCAGTCAGTTCCCCTGGAGGACCCACAAATGGGGCATAGAGGTCAAGGCCTTCCCCTGATATCACTTGCTAGTACTGGTATTCAGAGGCTCACAGGGCAGCTCTTCACTTCGGCTGGCGCAAAATCCCCCCACCCTAGAAACTCAATCGGTGCTATTGGTTACAATTATCAAACTAGCAGTGTTGAACCCAATCTGACGGCGAGATGCACCAGAAACAGCCTGGGTGGTACGATGGAACTGAGGCATATCCAATATCAATGCAAATAGAGGGTTAGGTACTTATGGATTAGCATGGGATTAGTTTAGAGCACAGCGATGGTCTCTTCAAGGAGCTGGAGGCTATGAATTAGCTGCAATTTGGGACGGTGGAGGGCAGGCTGAATGGGATTTCCGGCACAGCAATGGATGGAGACACCTTTTCTTCACAGATTCCATTTAAATGTCTTTCTATTGGCTCTTAGATATCTTAATTCTCTTGCGCCCGCTTATCTGCTCTTTTCTCTCTCTTCCTCAACCTCCCTCTCGTTCTCCCTTCTCCCTTTATTATCTGTCGACCCAAAAATGATCATTTCTGTTCCTTTGTTTCCATTCCTCTCCTTCAGATCCTTTCGGATCCTGATTTCCAGGAGCTGGGAAATTCCTGGAGATTTGGGGGCAGAGTCTGGGGAGGATGGTGTTTGGGGAGGGGCAGCAGCTCAGCGAGGCTAGGATGTCATACGGTCTGTCTTCCAAAGCTGCCATTTTCTCCAGGGAACTGTCATCTGGGGATCAGTTGTAATACCAGGAGAACTCCAGGGCTCACCTGGAGTTTAACCGCCCTCCAGTCTTCAGTGGTAGCCGATGTAACTGGCATTCCCTCCTGGGCCTGGATCACGGGGGGCCAAGTCCCAGCCAAGCCTCTGCAATAGCTATTTATTTTATTTCTAGGCTTCCCTTCTTGCTGAGTCTCAAGACTAGGGGGGTGTATTCGGCTATATCCAAGTGGAAAAAATAGCCGAACCTTTTTGGTATTTTTCGGCTATTCTTTCAGCTGGATATAGATCTGGGTGTGTTTTTTTCCCAGCTATCCCAAATGCTCAGCCCCCAAAATCCCAAAAATATTTGGGATTTTTCACAACTGTCAGGTGGCCAAAGGGTGTCTAAAGGGATCACAGTCACTTTAAATGCCTTCTGGGTAAATTTATCACTTGGAGAAGGTGTTTAAAGGGACTGTGAGCCCTTTAAACGCCTTCAGAGGCTGATTCTGCATTGGCTTTTCCCTCCATTGTTTTACAAAGCCCACATTAGAAGAGAAATTCCCCTCTGCATGGCATGGTGCTTTCACTTCCTTTGAACATTGGGTTTTATAGTAGCTTCCGCACTCCATGCCACTTTTGCTTTCTTTGATCATCGGATTTTATGGTACCTTCTGCATAGATTTATGGCCGTTTTATGGCCATTCAGGGGTGACTTTGCAGTCAGTACGGCGTTGCCCCAAGTATTTGAACGTGGTTTTGAGCTGCACTTTCCCCTCCCAGTTCAGAAAATGTGGAGTGAATGGTAGATGCAGATTTGCTCAGACTTCACTCATGGCTCAGAGGAGGCATTTAAAGGGACCCAGATCCCTTTAAACACCTTTCCCCCCTCCATTGAAACCAATGGAGGATGGGAGCCCCTTCTTTGGGGGCACATAGACTTGGATCCCCTGGTCTAATCTTTTTGAAACTTGGGGGTGGAGTTTGAGGAGAGACACCAGCAGCTTTGAGGAGAGACACCCAGATCCCTTTAAACACCTTTCCCCCCTCCATTGAAACCAATGGATGATGGGAGCCTCTTCTTTGGGGGCACATAGACTTGGATCCTCTGGTCCAATCTTTTTGAAACTTGGGGTTGGAGTTTGAGGAGAGACACCAGCAGCTATGCTGCAAATTTGGTGCCTCTACCTCATAGAACAGCCTCCCCACGAGCCCTGGATACCCCCCGGATCTATTCCCCATTATACCCTATGGGGACCATTGACTATAAAAGTCCCCCTAGGATATAATGTAGCCGGGAAAAAAATGGGATTTCTGAAAAATCCTGGATCTGAATACCATAGCACTATCGGGATTCAGGAATATCAGAAAATACCAATATTTTTCAGGTTCAATATACCTGAACCCCAAAAATACAGATTTGGGGGTTTTTTGCATACCCCTACTGAAGACAGAATCAAGTAATACAAGAGGCACTTAGATCCGGCTTGTGGTGATTCAGGTCCAGGCACAGGTGGTTTGTACCTTATGTAAAAGTAAAGGTAAAGGTTCCCTTGCTCAAAAGCCAGCCAAATCTGACTCTAGGGTTGCGGTGCTCATCTCCGTTTCAAAGCCGAAGAGCCAGCGCTGTTCGAAGACGTTTCTATGGTCTTGTGGCCGGCATGACTAAACACCAAGGTGCACGGAACGCTGTTACCTTCCCACCAAAGTGGTACCTATTTATCTACTTGCAATTTCTTGCTTTCGAACTGCTAGGTTGGCAGGAGTTGGAAGGAACTAGAGATGGGCGCTCACTCCGTCATGCGGCATACTCGGGTCTTGAACTGCTAAACTACCGACCTTCCACAGCCTGCAGTTCAGCATCTTAACCACTTGAGCCACCGCAGCTCCACGTACCTTATGTAGGGAGACAAAATACCTCAAGCTTTATTGTCTTGTAGCATTGCCAACTGTAAAGTAGGAAATACCCGGAGATTTTGGGGGTGGAGTTTGGGGAGGATGGGGTGGGGCCTCAGCAGGGTATAAAGCCATAGAGTCCACCCTCCAAAGCAGTCCTTTTCTCCAGGGGAACTGATCACTATTACCTGGAGATCAACTGTCATAGAAAGAGATCTCCAGGCGCCACCTTGAGGTTGGCAGCCTTACTGCCTTGGGCACCTACTTTTCAATCTCTTCTGACGCATCGAGAGCATTTCGTAGAGTTCCCGTTCCACCAACCCATCGCCTTCGTCTTCATCCAGCCATTTCCCACAAGGGAATGTCTGCTCAATGCCAGTAAACGGGCAATACACCGTCACCTAGTGGGAGAAAGAGGAAAACAATCCAGCACAATAAATAATCCAAATTTACTATTACTCACTCCCTGTAAAAGAGAGAGAAGAAGAAGAAGAAGAAGAAGAAGAAGAAGAAGAAGAAGAAGAAGAAGAAGAAGAAGAAGAAGAAGAAGAAGAAGAAGAAGAGGAGGAGGAGGAGGAGGAGATTGGATTTATACCCCGCCCTTCACTTGGAGTCTCAGAGTGGTTTACAAACTCCTTTCCCTCCCCCTCCTCACAACAGACACCCTGTGTGGTAGGCGGGGCTGAGAGAGCTCTGAGAGAAACTGCTCTTTTCAAGAACAGCTCTGACAGGACTATGGCTTGCCCAAGGTCATCCAGCAGCTGCATGTGGAGGAGGAGTAGGGAATCAAACCTGGTTCTCCCAGATTAGAGTTCACGCACTTAACCACTACACCAAACTGTAGAGAGAGAGGTGTAGTGGTTAAGAGCAGCGGACTCTGGTCTAGAGTACCAGGTTTTGTTCCCCACTCCTCCTCCCCATGAGGCCTGCTGGGTGACCTTGGGCCAGTCACAGTTCCCTCAGAACTCTCTCAGCCCCACCTGCTTCACAAGGAGCCTGTTGTGGGGAGAGGAAGGAGATTGTGAGCCGCTTTGAGACACATGAGGCCTGCTGGGTGACCTTGGGCCAGTCCCAGTCCTCTCAGGACTCTCTCAGCCCCACCTGCCTCACAAGGTGCCTCTTGTGGGGAGAGGAAGGGAAGGCGATTGTCAGCTGCTTTGAGACATAGGAGGCCTGCTGGGTGACCTTGGGCCTGTCCCAGTCCTCTCAGGACTCTCTCAGCCCCACCTGCCTCACAAGGTGCCAATTGTGGGGAGAGGAAGGGAAAGCGATTATAAGCAACTCTGAGAATCATTAGGGTAGAGAAAAGTGGGGTATAAAAACCAAACTCTTCTTCTCCAACTATTATTTTTATTATCATTACTTCCTGCCCTCACAAGGGCCACCAGGACTGGTAACAATGTAAAACATACATGATAAAATCACACTTTAAAACCATTAAAACCACCCCCAACACACATCATTAAAACAAATTAAAAAGAGCTAAAAGACATACAAAGACATAACAACAACAATTACCACTGCGGAGGCTTTAAGAGGGGTACAACATCACAAGGGACTTTTTTCTCAATGCAACCTAATATGCTTAATGGTCTATCTTACCAGAAGAGACAAAGGGAATCTCCAAAAACTGTGTGGTAAAACCATACAGTATTTCCAGTAATTCCTAGAGCAGCCCCAGTACTGACAAGGGGAAACTTCAGAAACTGCAAGCAACTCTATGGTTTCCAGCGATTCCTATAGCTACTGTTTTGTCACTTCCGGTGATAACTCCTGGTAAGTACAGAGGCTGCTTTTGACAAAAATAGATTTGCCAACTCCCAAGGGATGGAATGTCAAAAACAACATCCGTGACAAAAATAAGGAAGAGTCAATAAAGATGGCCGCCATGCTTAAACTGTAATTTTAATTTTAATAAGTTATATTTTGTTATTTTACTGATTGTATTCTTTTAGATGTGATGTTGTATTAATTCTTATACTGGTTTTTAAACTCTTGTAAGCCGCTCTGAGCCGCTTCGGCGGGAGGGCGGGGTAAAAGTCTAAATAATAAATAAATAAATAAGTTGCAAAAACGTTTACTATAGTAATTCTGTAGAAAATCTTCTTCTCTAATCGCTCACACGCAACGAAGACTGCGCTCTGGAAACAATTCGTTTCACAATATTTGCTTTATCTGCGCAATCCCAGTTTTTATCAATTACTAATCAACTCTTGAAGGAAACATGCCATGTTGACTCTCTACTAATAGAACCCTCACCCAAGGCTATCAGAGAGTCGACATGGAATGTGTGTGTGTGTTCTTCTTCCTTGTCAGGAGTTTTGCGCGTGTTCCACAATGACATCGCCTGGGCACGCTGTGTGCGGGGCCTCTATAATTTGAGGGAAAACCACAGAGTTTTTCCTCAAATGACAGATAGTTTCCTCAAACCGTAGAGTTTTTCCTCACACCTCTGGGTGATGTCGTCGTGCTGGACACATTGGTCTGAACGTGGCACTTTGGGGGAGGAGACTGGATCTGGGCCAGCAGATCGGGGCCCCTAAAAACGGGCAACCCCCCCCCCCGGAGGAATTGCAGCCCTAATTAATTCTCATAATGGCCTTCTAAGGGGGCGGATATCATGGGGGGGAGGCGTGGCTGTTTGCCCCAGAGCGAACTACCATGCGGAAGCCAGATCAAACGTCCCGCCTGACGTCCCATGGTTGGGGGGAGGTGCCGATCATACCTCACTCCTGCGGCGAGGGAAAGAAGTGGCGCCGCGGGGGTTGTGTTGTTTTTTTTAACCCAAGTGTTTGCATGCGTCGTTGGGTGCTTGTGCGCACCTGTGAAGACTTGACAAAAAAAAACTTTTAGCGACGGGACATGGGCGGGCGCCGGATGCCACGAGTTAACACCAGAAACGTGATCTGACGCCCGCCCTTGCCCCGCGGTTTCCAGAAACTAGTACCTCGGAGGTACTAGTTTTTTACAGCGCATCGTCGGAGTGAAGCCTCAGGTGAGCCACGGGAGCTCTACGCTTCCCAGATGTGGCGGTGAGATCGCGCCCGGAAAATCCGCCTATCTTCCGTCTCTCTAGTGTGCCTAATGCTCCGTGTGACCGGGGCCAATGGTAGGCCTCAACCCTCAGGGCTTACACTGGAAAGTTTTGGCTTTTCTACAACTTAGTGTTCTCAGCCTCCAGGAGCAGCTTGGAGATCCAGAATTACAATGGCTCTTCAGACTACAGAGATCAGTTCCTGTGGAGTACATGGCTGCTTCGAAGGGTGGACTCTACAGATCTTAAATCTGATCTGAGGGCTTCATGCTCAAAGCTAAAGTTTACAATCACGATGGTTATCCTGTCAATTCTGCGTAAAACTACTAGCAATTCCAGAGCAATTAGATTGAATCAAAGACTTTTCAACTCTTCTGCTGAAACAAAAACCGTGCATAAATTGCAAATATGATTAGGATTAGAATATGAAAGTTTAAAGTATTCAGATCTGGCTCTAAGGGACTTTAAAAAAAATCCTAAGGCTGTACTTTTGTGTATACTTACTAGAAAATAAATCCAATTGAACACAGTGGGAATTCCTTGCAACTAAATAGCAAAAGATTAGTCTTACTGACTAGTTTAGCTTTAAGGCAGTAATGTTGTTTTAACTTGCCAATTCAATAGCGATTATTTCAAAAGCTTATTGTTTTGGTAATACCTTTAATTCCAACAACATGACTGAGAATGTTAAAATAATAACCAAAGAGATTAGCGAAAAATCAAGTAAGAAGATTTTCTGTTCTGCTCCAAGTCAGGGCCAAACTAGATGATAAAGTAACGCATGTTGGGTCAGGTTTAAATACTGGCAAGAGCTTTGGAGGTGGGGACATGGGAAGGGAAGCAGGGTTGTGTGAGTTGTAACATCACTTCTGGGGGGAAAACATAAGTGAATTGGGTTGCTCTAGGAATTGCTGGAAATTCTATGGTAAAACCATACAGTTTCCAGTGGTTCCTAGAGCTACCTGGCATCACTTCCATGTTTCCCCGGAAGCGACATCACAGCATACTCAATGGTGATGGTTTTTTAAACAACTTCTCCCGCAGCTGATCTAGGAGGCTCAGCAATCTTTGGGCCTCCAACCTGACTTGCAGTCACACATGGCTTCAGGGCACTAACATTCCACATTTAATTATCCTACCTGCACAAGTGCAGATATTAGAACAGCTGCCTTCCTGGCTTTCTTTTCATCCTAGTCTACCAACATTAGGAGATCCAGGTGGGGCAGGTCATGAAAGGATGCCGTCTGATATCTCACCTAGGATGGTGGATTGTAGCATTCTTTATGCCGAGAATCAATATTCTGGATTGTTGGGGTTTTTGTAGAAGCATTTCCTGACTTTGCGGCTACCCTGTGGTTGATGCTTTAAAGCCTTCCAAATTAACTTCCACATTCAGAGCCACTAAACCTCTGAATTCCAGAGTCAGGAGGCAACTTGAGGGGAAGGCCTTGGCCTCTATGCCCTGTTGTTGACCCTCCTGGTTGGCCACTGTGTGAGACGGGATGCTGGACTAGATGGACCACTGGTCTCATCCAGCAGGGTTCTTCTTAAATTCTTATCAAGAGAGGGCTTCGGCCTCTGTGCCCTGTTGGTGGCCCTCCAGAGGAACTGGTTGGCCACTATGTGAGGCAGGATGCTGGACTAGATGGACCATTGGACTGATCCAGCAGGGCTCTTCTGATGTTCTTATGGAGGCCTTGGCCTCTGTGCCCTGTTGTTGGCCCTCCAGAGGAACTGGTGGGCCACTGTGTGAGGCAGGATGCTGGACCAGATGGACCATTGGACTGATCCAGCAGGGCTCTTCTGATGTTCTTATGGAGGGCTTGGCCTCTGTGCCCTGTTGTTGGCCCTCCAGAGGAACTGGTTGGCCAATGTGGGAGGCAGGATGCTGGACCAGATGGACCATTGGACTGATCCAGCAGGGCTCTTCTGATGTTCTTATGGAGGCCTTGACCTCTGTGCCCTGTTGTTGGCCCTCCAGAGGAACTGGTTGGCCAATGTGTGAGACAGGATGCTGGACTAGATGGACCATTGGACTGATCCAGCAGGGCTCTTCTGATGTTCTTATGGAGGCCTTGGCCTCTGTGCCCTGTTGTTGGCTCTCCAGAGGAACTGGTTGGCCAATGTGTGAGGCAGGATGCTGTACTAGATGGACCATTGGTCTGATCCAGTAGGGCTCCTCTTGTGTTCTTATGGAGGCCTCGGCCTCTGTGCCCTGTTGTTGGCCCTCCAGAGGAACTGGTTGGCCACTGTGTCAGGCAAGATGCTGGACTAGGTGGACCACTGGTCTGATCCAGTAGGGCTCTTCTGATGTTCTTATGTTCTTAACCTAGGGCAGAGAATACCTGATTAATTTGGCCCCATCTATTGTTATTCCTTGATATTGTTTTATTGTTCTACCTGGACAGTACTACTCCCACATTTTGACTTTTATCTATGTGAGATCATCTCTGTATTTATTATATTTTATGTTGAACAAGTATAAAGCCAACAGTTGTGATAGTCTGACCCACAATCAAATAGTCATAAGACGTATAAAGAATGCTGTTTATGTATTGCAATCTAAAGCACTATAACATGATACACAACGTCGTCTCCGGATTACATAACAACGTTTCAAAAAATGAATCTTCTTCAGGAGATATTATAGTGGTGCCAAAGCTCTCAATTTCATAAATGTTAGACAACAAGTCTTAAGAATATTGAATTCAGATAGGACGCTGATCTCAATTAACATACAGGCTCAAAATATGCTGCTATGTTTCTACTGGATCTTTTCTTTTTTATTATATTTTATGCCATTACAGTTTCATTGAATTGAATTGAATTGAATTCTTACGCTCTTAACCTGACTGCTACATTTGTCCTCTGTGAGTCTGCAAATTTGGTGGTGGAGACAGTCATTGAGTTGCAGCTGACTTACAGTGACCAAGGCAAGGGTTCTCAAGGCAAGAGTGACCAAGGCAAGGGTTCTCAAGGCAAGAGTGACCACAGCAAGGGTCCTCAAGGCAAGAGTGACCAAGGCAAGGGTTCTCAAGGCAAGAGTGGCCAAGGCAAGGGTTCTCAAGGCAAGAGTGACCAAGGCAAGGGTTCTCAAGGCAAGAGTGACCAAAGCAAGGGTTTTCAAGGCAAGAGTGACCAAGGCAAGGGTTCTCAAGGCAAGAGTGACCAAAGCAAGGGTTCTCAAGGCAAGAGTGACCAAGGCAAGGGTTCTCAAAGCAAGAGTGACCAAGGCAAGGGTTCTCAAGGCAAGAGTGACTAAGGCAAGGGTTCTCAAGGCAAGTGTGACCAAGGTAAGGGTTCTCAAGGCAAGAGTGACCAAAGCAAGGGTTCTCAAGGCAAGAGTGACCAAGGCAAGGGTTTTCAAGGCAAGAGTGACCAAAGCAAGGGTTCTCAAGGCAAGAGTGACCAAGGCAAGAGTGACCAAGGCAAGGGTTCTCAAGGCAAGAGTGACCAAGGCAAGGGTTCTCAAGGCAAGAGTGACCAAGGCAAGGGTTCTCAAGGCAAGAGTGACCAAGGCTTCTCAAGGCAAGAGACAAACAGAGGTGGTTTGCCATTGCCTGCCTCTGTGTAGCAAGCCTGGACTTCCTTGGCGGTCTCCCATCCAAGTACTAACCAGGACCGACCCTGCTTCGCTTCAGAGATGTGATGCGATCAGCCTGGGTCATCCAGGTCAGGGTGTCACAAATGCAGTGCAACTATTAAGTCTGTACAGGGGTCAGCGACAGTGTTCCCTCTAAGCTGAGTTAGTGTGAGCGAGCTTACAGTTTTTTAGCCTCCGGTTCACACATTTTTGTCTTAAGGAGGATGGCCCCAGAGCACACTAATTTATGCAGTAGCCAAATCACTCACTCACAATTTTAATGCCAGTAGCTCACAAAGCTGAATTTTTGCTCATAAGACTCCGCACCTTAGAGATAGCATTGGTCAGCTATACATACATCGGTGGGTTTCTTTGGCGTTTCCTAGAAGCCAGATGTTTCCCCCTCCCTCTCTTTTAAAATAATATTGGATTTGCTGTCGAAGGCTTTCACGGCCGGAGTTCATTAGCTGTTGTAGACAAAATCCATATGCAAAAGAACCTCCTCAGGAAAGCTCCTCCATTGGCATGTTTCACAGCCCTGGGGAACTCCTACATGATAATGACTCAGCCCTACCCCACCTTCCTGAGTAGATATAAATCACCTGCCTACCATTTTTCTTCTCACCTTGACACAGAGAGTACTCCGTCTTTCTGTGTTATACCTCTGAGGATGCCAGTCACAGCTACTGGTGAAACGTCAGGTCCTACAATGCCAAGACCATGGCCAGACAACCCGGAAAATCTACAACAGCCAATAATATTGGATTGCCTCTTTGGCATACAGCAGAAACTTAATGGAAACTTCTGGTTCATTCAGCATTTTCCTGTATGTTTCACTGCAGTCCGGAGGGATGCTTAAAAGCTGACGTGATGCCCGAACCACCACGTAAGAACCATTGATTTACGGCACCAGAACTTCTTGCACTGATCTGCCGTCCCTCTTCACTCCCTCCCTCCTTT